GGCCTCCATCTGATCTTCAGGTGGGGGAGGCATCTGCTCTTAGTTCCTGATAAGTCTCTTGTTTTACTGCATATGCATCAGAGGCCAGAGCAACGCCCTATACCCTGATCTTTCAGTTGTCATTGAGGATGGCCATCAGCATAGCCTCTGCCTGGGCAGCATCACATTCCTAAAGAACTTGAAAGACAAAAGTCATCAACTTATAACAGTTGGGAGGGGCCATAAAATCTACAGAGCATGTCTGAGTTAGTTAATTAGAGGTCATTCAAAGTTATAATATGGTTCCTTTCTACAATATGGCTTCCCTTATGTCAACCTTGTGTTGAGCTGGTATCAGTGTCCCCTTTTGTTGTTCATCCTCAATCTTGAGGGAATCTCCTGTTGTGCCTATCCATGAATGTGTACTATGGTTTTTATTGAAACTTAGTTTTTCTCTCTAAAGTCACCCTCATTTTTATAAAAGATAGCCAAATTAAGACTGATGAGTTTGTAAGATAAGTAATTTCAATAAACTTGGCCCAATTATTTACATAAGTACAGCAAGAATAGCCATTGATCATATAGGCTCTTTTAAATCTGCTTTGCTGGAACTTTTAATGAGGAATCTTAGATTGAACTTTAAAGGCCTCTCAAGGCCAGAAAAGCCAAGCCAAAGACTTGTCATCAGATTTCAACTGCAATACTTATAGATTTAGGTGGATTCCTCTCTTCTTGAGGTCCCCAAAAATATTTCAAGGTTCCAGGCTCCTGCTAGATAAGTAACCTTCCTTACTTACTGGGAAAGATTGCTGGAATCTCTGTAAACAAGGTGTCAGGCCAATACTTCCAAGTGGCCAGAAAGTCAACCTTTATTCCTCAAAAGCTGTCTTGCCATATCTGAGTCTTTATGTTTTTCTCAAATATGACATTCCAGTAAATGCCTTGGTAATAGAACCAATTGTGTCCTGTTATAAGGAGAACAGATCCTTATTGAACTTACGCAAATAACTATATTGTCATGAAAACAATACTCACTCATTAAGAGTTTCCAAATCCTGGAGGGATCAGGTAGGGAGAAAAATAAATAAATGCTTCAAATCTGCTTACAAAGGTATAATTTATCAAATTCATATGTCATAGTTAGCATGAGAGAAAAAGACTTCCTTAAATCTGGAAACAAAACAGAACATCAAAACCCCCCAGCAATATCTCAAATGAAAAGTTATGTTATAATCATCCTCATCAGTTCATTCAGTCCTGTGTAATCAATTCTTGATCTTAATCTTCTATTAGCAGCTTTATGAAGTCATCAGTTCCTCTGTTAGTGTTCTGTAATTTCTTACCCAGTCCAGTTTTATAATCAGAAAGTTTACCAGAAGCCTGTATTCTAGAGTGAGTGTCTGAATTCTTTCCATGAATTTCTCTGAAGAGGAAACATATTTGCAAAAGCAAAAAGCATCAGAGTAAAACAGTAACTATCTGCAAAAGACAAAAGACTCAAAAGGACAATTGACAAAGAAACTTGCCTACTTCTGTGACATACAACACTTCAAGATAATAACTAGAATTATGGCTGAAAACCAGGATAGATCAGAACTTTAGGAATGTTATATAATTTCTAAAACATTTATATCAATTACATTTACCCACAAAACCACCACAGAAGGTTCATCCTGACTTATTTGACAATGCTTCCCATGTAATTTAACAAACCAAATAAGCCCAGTTTATTATCTTCCTCCTCATAGGAAGTCTCTTTGAGAAATCTCAGAAAATCCTTAGAGAAATTTTCTTCCTTCTTCCAGGTCAAAAGAGAGCGTTTATTCAGGATTTTAATATTTGGGGTTGGAGGAGCTTGTTAAAATATAAAAAGTTTTAAAACACTTGGTCAAATAGGAAACAACACTCACTCTATTCAGTCAAAGTGACAACAGAAACAGCCAAGGGCAAACGCAGTTAAAACAGTCAAAAAATCTTAATAGAAAGACCTCAATATTTCTGAACATAGGGAATTATTTTAACAAAACATAGATTTTCTGTCTTTTAGATAGACTTACTCAGAAGTAAAGAAAAACCTTTTATAACCTCTTTATCAAGAGCAGGCCAAAAGTTCAAGAAAATTATCCTTTTGAGAAAGAAAACCAAATTTTTATTTTTGCACCAGCTCATTTTTGACATTAAAACCCAATTACTTAATTGGATTTACTTTAATCTTAGCCAGCTTGAGCAGGCATAAAGCTCTTTTCAGAATTTCTCTTTCACAAACCTTCTGTAACTTTCTTTTTACATTCAGAATTTGTCCCATGCTTCCTTCTCTTTTTCCCTTCTAGTACTTTAGGAAAAATTTATCTTTCTTAACACCAGAAATAAAAACATTTCCATTCTTTATACCTTCTTTACTGAAAACTTACATCTTACTTTCCTTGAATACCAACCTTTTTTCCTTATTAATTTTTAGTAGCTTTAATTACACATACTAATTAGAATTTTCAACCCTTACAGACCTTAGTGAAAACTAAAAACTAAGCAATTATGAACTGTTGTTTACATTAGCATTCTGTGGTTTGGCAAATTTATAAATACCTTTTATAATTTCTAAAAACATGTTACTTCATAGTACAATCTTTTAATAAAATACAAGACATGTTTACTAATATACCCAAACATCTTTTAGTTTCTTTGTAATAAGAAGCCAAAAGTAGATAAACCTGGAGATGTCTAATGATAATGTTTCAGTATTTCATCTTATTTGGAAAATGACCCAGATATTCAGCGAGTTTTTTATCATTCAATTTCACCTAGCAAAACTTCAAAGTTTCAAGTTACCAGAAAAATTTTGGAATTTATTTTAAATACATATTCCATAATGCATAATTATTGTTTAAAAAAATTCACTCGGTACTTTTATCTTTTTCACATCTATTTAGTTTACTCATTCCCAATAACTATTTACATTGCCTACAGAACTTCATGAGACATTAGACAAAATCAGTTATCATTCAGACAGAGCTATTATTTTGCTGACAAGTTTGTAACAGGAGTAACATGGGTTTATTTGACTAGTAAACCCAGGCTGTACGCCTGCACCTTATCCAATGCTGATACTCTGAGGACATGTCCATTTTAATCAAACCAATAAATTTAAATAAGCTTTTATTTACTACAGATTAATTTATATCATGTTAATTTACAATGCATTTGGGTTAGTTTCTCTTACATTTAGAAATAATTTAGGTTAGGGGCCAGCCCCGTGGCCGAGTGGTTAAGTTCACATGCTCCACTGCAGCAGCCCAGTGTTTTGCCAGTTCAAATCCTCGGCGCAGACATGGCATGGCTCATCAAGCCATGGTGAGGTGGTGTCCCACATGCCACAACTAGAAGGACCCACAACTAAGAATATACAATATGTACTGGGGGGCTTTGGAGAGAAAAAGGAAAAAATAAAATCTTTTTTTAAAAAAAGAAATAATTTAGGCTAAACAAAAGAAAAAAACAAAATAAAACAAACAAAAAACCAAACATTTAGGTAAGTGCTTACTTTAAGCAAATTGAACTGAGCTCTTAATTTTTGGCCATACCATTCAGCAATAAAAATATCACACATATCCAACATACATATAGACACATATACACTGAGTCTCCCCAGCTATTGTTTAAAAATTACTACTATGAATCAGGTACAGTAAAACAAGTCTTAGTTATGAATCCAAATTTTGTTTTAGGCTTTTTACTAACATTTGTGGAGAAGACTTCCAAGTAGCTAGATTTTGGCAAGGGCACTCTTATGGCCGTTTTTTTCCTTCAGTTCTAGGAATTAGTGATGGGATAGATAACAGTTCCTGGAGAGGCAGATGATAATCCTTTTTAAGATAAAAGAACGGGTGGAATCTGAGCTGCCTCTAGAGCTGCACTTCCAGTCTTGAAGGATTTTCTAAGTATAATTGCTCTTGATTTCTCAGAAGCTGGGTTGTAACTCACATGACATCATAGGTTGATGTACTTGTCCGACTGCATCATAAAGGCAAAGAGCAACCACTCGACTCTCCTCCAAGAAGGAGTTTCTGGGGGAATAACTCATCCACTTTAAAGTGTTTCCAATTAGTTAAAATGTACCCAAGGGGTGAGTCTCTCGGGATTCTTGGGGGCATCGCCCAGGGTGGCAAAGCACCATCAGCGTCTGACTGACAGTGGGCTGGAGAAGGGTGCAGAGCCTGACTGCAGGCATCAACATAGTTATAAGATTTAGTCAAGTCCCATTCAGCCCAGGTGCTTAGTACCTGAGCCAGCACAAGGCAAGCCAGGGAGGCAAGACGCAAAGGACTGGAGCAGGCTGGGGTGGGTTCCAAGGCTAGGGTTGAGAGTTAAGTCCCTGGCAAAAAGTTTTTCAAGTTCCAAGCTTACAGGTCTAGGTTCTGTTCAGGTCCAGCCTGAACTTAACCTCGACTTGGTGAAAACAGGTGATGAATGAGACAGACAAACAAGGGAGAGAGGATGAGGCCTCATCCTCATGGCCTCTTCCCAAAGGTTATCCAGATAAGGGTCACACAAACAACAGTCCCCAGGCAAGACAGTTTACGGGATAATTTACAGATCTCCTGTCCCCATAACTGACTCAGCAGGCACCTAAAATACTCAAGTTCTTGACAGGAGACAAAACAGGATTCCAGACTGTCAGTCAAACGACTGAGTGAGGGGCCAACCTGGAATCACTTAGGTGCCCCAAAAGCAGAGAGCTCCCTGGAGTGGAGCGCGGACTCTGTGAAACCAGGCAGAGGAGAGCTCCTGGGGTAGGGGCTGAGTGCGGGGCTTTGATTATCATCTGAAAGACAATGAGAGGAGGCTGAGATTCCAAATTTGCATAAGTTCTTAAGACTAGACATTGAAAGAGCTCTCTGATTGTGGCCACATGGTGTTATGGAAAAATACCATCTTTTTCTTTTTCCTGGACTCATAACTGAAAGCTGCCCAATTCTGAAGAAAGCAGCCTGGGCTGCAGGTGGGAATGAAATTAGCATTATCTATTGTTTTGGAACTTAGACACGGCTGGTCAGAGTATATGTATATCACAGCTAGAACCGAAACCAAGCCAAGCCAAGCCAAGCCAGGAGAACTTCTGTGACTGGCTCCTCTAATTCTTCCTTAATATGGAGCATCCCCCAAACCGAGATCCTCACAATGAAGGCCAGACCAAGGCTTCCTTTGTCGGAAGTCATAGAGGGTGTCTCCTGCCAAAACAAGGCTTCCTTTTTTGAAGTCAGACCAAAGGAAGAAGAAATACCAATCCGATCATTTGTACCAAAGTTACTCACCAAAAACACATTTTCCAAACCAAGAAACCATTTCTTTACTGAAAAGTGAAAATATGTGCAAAGGAGTTGGTAGTGCCAAGCCAGGAAAAAATCCTAGAAGTCTCAGGAGAAATGCTCCAGGCAGCTGCTGGACTCATCCACGGGTTCTCCACACTGGCGAGGAGCTGACGAATCTCGGGCCAAAAGGTCCATCTGGACTTAGCTCCTGGCTGGCTTGCCAAAGTGTTACAGCAGCACATTCATTTCTGCTCGCCGCCCAGAAAGCCAAACATGGAGACAAGGCGATTGCAGGAGAGTTCAATGGCAAAGCAGCCATGCAAGGAAGCGAGAGCAGGAGTCTCAAACCCGCTTCCTTGAAAAGAGGGGCTCGGTGATATTTATAGGATGGGGGGAAGGTGGTCTGAAATGTGGAGACAGGTGATTGGAGGTGAGGAGACGTAATTGATGATCTGTGCAAGCGTGGTCAGACTCCATGCCTCTTTAGAGGACGTGTGCTCACAAAATGGCAGTATGAGCCTGATCTGAGGGTGGAGTCTTCAGCTTCTTGATGTCGAAAGGTCGCCTATCAGACATCTGCATGGGTCCAGGTGATGAGTTGGTGGTCTCAACCTGGATTGAGTGGACAAAGGGGTTCTAATTGCTGAAGAACAGCTCACAAGCCCATTACCATGGTACCCAGGCTCCAGGGAGATGTTAAGTATAGGAACCTAGTGGGTGTCAGCTAGCTTATCGCCTAAACAGCAGTTAACAATGGGTGGGTTAAACAGCTAAAAGCTATAATCGGTAATTGCAAAAAGTTAAAAAACCTTTGGGGGCCAGCTCCGTGGCCAAGTGGTTAAGTTCGTGGGCTCTGCTGCGGCAGCCCAGGGTTCGGATCCTGGGCGCGGACATGGCACCGCCCGTCAGGCCACATTGAGGCAGCGTGCCACATCCCACAATTAGAAGGACCTGCAACTAAGATATACAACTATGTAGTGGGGTGGGGGTGGGAGTTGAGGAGATAAAGTAGAAAAAAACAAAAAAAACCCCCACCTTTGGTTCCTAGCTACTTAATGATCAACGCCTCTTTGGCGGTTTCACCAGAATGAGCCAGATCTATTTAGATTTCACAGGAAACCACTGGAAAGCAAGTGGCAGATATCTGAAGACTCACCCCTCTCAATGCTGTCCTGAGAAACAGGACCTTCCCCAGGTGACCACCGTCCTCTTGTCACACTCAGGAAATTTAATGTTGGCAGAAGAAATCTAATATTTAAATTTCCCCAGCTGTGACAATAGTAGTTCTAAATTTTATTTTCTGATCCAGGATGTACTCAAGGACCTTGCACTGCATGTATCGGCATGTCTCTGAGTCTCCTAAGCAGAACCCCCATCCTTCTACTTCCTCATGTCACCTCGTCACCCTCACACATATGTGCACACAGCCATCGGGCCTGGAGGTGACGCCCATGACACTTCCCTCTGAGCTCTGCCTAGCCTGGCTTTGCTGGCCTCCCCAACCCTGTGGGGCTGGACCTGCCCATGCCCTGCTCCCCTCCCCTCTGTGCTCTCCCCGCCCTCCATCTCTGCCTGGAGCTCCTTCCTGAGCCCTGGGAATCCAGTGTGAGGGGCTCCCGGCAGGAAGTCTTCCCCGGCTCACAGCCCCAGGCCTGCCCCACCTCCCCCAACCCCACTTCCAGTGTCTGTTTAGGGACCTTTCCGCCCTCAACTCAGCAGAGAGCTTCTCAAAGGCAGGTTCACCTGCATTGTCCCCTATGTCCCCAGCAATGACAAAAGGCTCAGACCCATGACTCAGGCTGGGAGTGGAGTCAATGGATGACTAAGGCAGAGGCCTGTAAGGGCCAGGCCACCCAGGAGTGGGCAGAGCAGACATTGGACTCTCTCCTGCCCCAGGACAGCCGCTCACTGCGGGGAAGCCTCAGGCGTGGAGGCCTCAGGTGTGGAGGCCCGGAGACTGCTCAGCTCTACAGGATCTGCTTCCACATCCTCGTCACTGGGCAGGTAGGGGCCAGCCTGGGCCGGGTGGGGTTGGACAGCGGGAGGGTGCGACAGCCACAGGCAGAGACTCAGCTCAGGTCTCTCCCAGGTAGGGAAGTTTGGGCTCATCCCCACGACCATCACTCTGTGCACTGGAGCCGCTCAGCTGCGTGTGGTGAGTCTGGCCAACATGGCTCCCCTTGGCTGCTGGTAAGCACATGCCCCCCGACCCCTGCGATCCCTGGGGTGACAATGAGTCTTGGGGTGAGGGCTGGGGAGGCAACGGGATGGCAGTTTGGGGGCCAGGCCATGGGTCTGCCCTGCCTCTCCCAGATCACCTCCTTTGTGACCTGCTGCTGTTGTGCGTGGATGGAGAAGCCCATTTCTATGAGGACCAAGCATGAGGAGGGGGCTGCGGGCCTGCCTGACCCTGGGCTACACTTTGGAGGATGGTGGATGGAGCCCCGCCCTGCTGTCCTCATCTGCAGGTAAAGGCCCCGAAGGGAACTGCCAGCCCTGAGCAGAAAGGCAGCTTCCCCACCCCCACATCTGGCTGCCTGGGTGCCTTAAAGGGGGCCCCGCACTGGACCCCACTGCTACTGCTGGGAGCTGGACACTGTTACCAGAGTGGCCCTAACACCACTCGCTGGCCCATTCCTGAGGCCCACAGCCTTTCTCTGCTATTTGGGGCTGGGGACAGAAAATGGTGGGAGCACAACCTAGGGGACTCAGGCATGAAGCCCTTGCAGGACCAGGGCAGTGGGTGGGAGGAATATTCCACCATTCGGCTACAAGGCAGACTGTCCCTCCCGCAACGCCTGCCTCGGCACGTGCTGCTTGGGGACCACAGAGCAGGGCCCTGGTCCAGAGGGGCTCTGGCTGGGGCTGGGGCTGGAGACGCTCTCCCAGGCTCCATCTCCAGTGTTCCCAGCAGCTCCCTGCTCTCCAGCTGTCCACCACACTGGCGGGGTCGCCTCTGGCCCTGCCTGGCTCCCAGCCCTCCTCCTCCTGCCGGCAGCCCCATCACAGGGAGAGACCCTGCTCTCTCAGCTGTCCCACACTGGGCTCGGCACAGCCAGAGTCCCAGGCAAGGGAGAAGGCAGCCTGACAAGAGATGTCACAGCTGCTCTGTACTGGGTTCCTAGGGCAGGGCTCCTCCCAGCTCTGGGCCTCATCCACGGAATGAGGACTGTAGTCGGCAGATGGTCCGACTCTCTAGGACCCCAGGCAAGGGCACAGGACCCCCTTGGGCCCATACCTTCTCAGCTGATGAGCACCAACCCCTTCCTTGTGGCAGCCCTTGGGCTGTGGAGGGCTGGGATGGAGAGGCGGGTAGAGGGGTTGTTGGTGGGCATGGGGTCCTTTGGGGCCTTCTATATGTCTCTTTAGTACCCCCAGCACAACACCCTGCAACCTGCTCACTGGGCTCCTGGGAGCCATGAGGTGGGGAGGCTGTACATCTGGACACAAATGTCACTGCTGCCCAAGGTCACACCCAAGAACTTGTCTGGGCAGCTGCACACCACACCAGAGGCAAATGCATGAGGACAATGCTCTGACCAAGACCCCAGGTAGAGACCAGGGGCTGGAAAGAATGTCCCTAACAGAGGACAAGGAGGCCCCAGCAGGCTGGCCTGGTTCAGGGTTTGGAATCCTCCTGGGGCCTGAATCCTGCCTGCTGGAGAATTTTCCCATGTCCTGGGCCCACGCTCAGGAGGGGAGGGATGGGGCTGCAGGAGCCAAGCTCTCTCTGGGTCCCAGGCAGGGTAAGGATTTGGGGTACCTACTCCAGGGAGACAAGGGGCTGCCTTCTCATGGGTCCCTGGTGAGCAGGGCCATGCTGGCAGCTTGCTCGTGGAATGACATGGGCCAAGCTGGGGAGGGGAGGCCTGGGGCTCAGGCTGGGCAGCATCTGGAATCATCTGGCATCTGGAGCCTCAGCAAAGCCTTGAGGTCCCTGCTGCCTCTCACCCCCAGGGCAGTGTCCATGGGAGGCGGATTCAGAAGGGCCAGGGTGAGAGATCACGGCCCTGAGGCCTGGTTATTGGAGCGGGGTCGCGTGTCCTTGTGTCCTTGGGGCCCAGAGAAAGTGATGTTAAGGCTGCAGAGAGTTGAGGAATAAAGATGCTAAAGCCAGTGGCTTCCTGTGTGGTCCTCACAGGCAAGAACCGGGAAGTGGTGGTGTCTATGATAGACAGAGCACAGCCTTGGGGAGACCGCGGTGTGCAGGGTAGGCCTAGGGACCCCCAAGATGGGGTCCCACCACCAGAGGTGGGCTGAAGGTCCCTGGAGCAGGCCCAGGTGCTTGTGCACGCACCTGTCCCAACCTGAGCCTTTGTCACAAAGCCCTGAGGGGGCGGCAGTGAGAGAAGCAGCTGGAAGCTGTGAGCAGCCCTAGGCTGGGAAACAGCTGCTGCCTCAGTCTGCACGTGGGTGCACGGCCAGGGGACTGTGTGTGCACGGCCTGGGGACCGTGTGCGACATGTGAGCCTGTGCCTGACAGACACATGTGACTGGGCAGGGGGGCCTCTCCATCCGGGGCAGGCCTCAGGACATGCCCTGCTCACTGGGAGCCCTGGGAAACCAAGGGATCCCCAGAACTCCACCGCCCTTTCCAGGCTGCCTCAATGGGGTCCAGGCTCTTTTCTCTTGATCTACCCCTGAGGGGACACGTGGGGAGGCTGGGAGGTGCCTGGCCTCATCCTTTATGGACCCCTCTGTGCCTGGTATGTGTAGCTCCCCTCTGAGCTGGGCAGAGCGCACTTGCCTGAGTGCAGGACTCCAGGACCCAGGCTAGGCCGTGACCCTGACTCAGGGCTGGGGCCACCCACTTCTAGAATCTCAGCATCAATGTTGTTTTCTGGGGACAAGTATTTGGTCCCTGGAACAGATGAGGACAGTGCCACAAAGAACACCACAGTAGGCCACACTGTGAGCCAAGCAATTATTACCGTGGGTCCCTGGGACTCAAGCTTCTTCCCTGCCCGCACTACTCCACCTGCCCAGGTAGCTGGACTTGGTCATATACTGGATGGCACTGGGCACAGTCCACCATACCAGCACTGGCCATGGCCCACTCCCAAAGAGTCGAAGCTCAGCACCTGGGCTGAGGTCCTGAGGACCCCCAGGCATGGGAAGACCTACACACCTGAGCTGCCCCCGATAGAGGGGCTGCCAGCCCCTCCAGCCTCCAAAGAATGTGGGGGACAGTAAGTAGGCCCCCCGTGGTCCTCATGGACTGGCAGGCTGCTCCATGGAGCCGGGCTCCTGGGCCGGTGCCTGGCTGGGGGTTTGCGTGGCTGGCACCATCTCTTCCAGGTTGCCACGTGTGGCCGTCAGCCCTAGCCGTGCCCGCTGGTTCTCCTTGCTCTGCCTGATGCCGTAGCCAAAATACACCGTGATTCCTGTAGGGGCGACAAAAGCCTGAGGGGCAGGTCCCAGCACTGCCACCCTGCTTGCCCTCTTCCTGTAGCCCCCACAGGGTCCCGGCCTGGCCCCCACTCACCAATCAGCAGCCAGATGGAGAAGCTCAGCCAGGCCACGTAGCTCAGCTGCAGCATGAGGAAGATGTTGAGGAGGATGCTCAGGGCGGGAGTCAGGGGCACCATGGGAACCTGAGGGGACAAGGGCAGGGCTGGGCTGCAGGGAAGGGCTGCTGGCCCAGGGCCTGATTTCTCGGGAGTCCACAGAGCCTTTCTCTGCCTCTGGAGATTCCGGAGACAAGACCCACCCGCCATGCAGAGAGGGGGGTGTGGGGTACTGGCCTCCCCCGCCCTGCGGCCCTGGTGCATCCTGCCACGGCAGAGGAGGAAGGTGCGAAGGGAGCTGGCTGGGCTGAGCGCGGTGGGTGCTGGCTGGAGGAAGTACCTGAAAGGTGTCCTGGCAGTGCTGCTGCTGGTGGGCCCCCAGGACGAGGAGACTGAGCAGAAAGGTGGCGGAGCTGAGCAGGAGCAGCAGGGTGTAGCTCCAGGGCGGGAGGTGCAGGACCGAGTCCCCAAAGACCAGCACGCAGTCCAGGGTGATGGCCGAGGACACCAGGACACCGAGGGCCCAAGCCACAGCGGCTCCAGGCCTGCACCCATCCAGGAAGCGGAGGTAGGGCCTCAGGGCTGGTTGCAGCTGCCCTGGCTCAGAGGCTGAGGTCTGCTCGGTGCCCAGAGGGCTGCCTGGGTCCTGAGAACTGGCTGGCGGGGACTTTCGGAAGCGTAGCATGATGATGCTGGTGGCCACGAAGGTGTAGGTCAGCAGTGCACAGATGCAGCGGAACTGCACTAGTGCCTCAAGTTCGACCAGCAGAGCCAGGAAAGCCATGAGGAACCCGAACACCAGGATGCCCACCACAGGCACCTTCATCCGGGAGTACACATGGGCAAACACCTGGAAGAAGAGCCCATCGGCAGCCATGGCAGAGATGATATGTGGCAAGAAAAAGATGTACCTGAGCAGGACAGTGTTCATGGCTGTGACAGAGGGTGGGAGAGACGTCAGAATGGTGGACAGGCTCACCAGGGGACACTGCTTGGGGCCAGGGTATGGGTGGCCCCTTGGGAACACGGGCATGAGTTTGCCTGGGCACTCAGAGTGAGCCTGAGTGCACCTGGGGTGCTGGATTGTTCCCCCTCACCACCCAGGAATGGGACACCCCAGTTTAGGTGACAGACCCACTGGAGAATCTGATGAGGGCTGAGTCCCTCTGCCTGGAAGGATCTGGAAGCACATGCTCAGAACTGACATTCTGTGTCAACTGGGAGGGACAGTGAATAGGTCCTTCACAACAAGCCCGGGTGGAGAGTCTAATCATTAGCACCTTCCTGGGCCCAGGATGCAACTGGGAGCACAGGCCCAGTTGGAGATGTGTGCCCTGGAGTCTTAGGGCAGGGCCAGACCACCCTGTTCCCTCCCACCTTGTCTGGAAGGGCCACTTACCGCAGATTGCACCAGCCACCACAATGAAGGCTGCCCAGCTATAGCCCCGCTGGTGGAAGGCATCAGGAAGTGCCCAGTCAGGGTCCAGGCTGTGCCAGGGCACCATGAGGGTGAGCACAGTTGAGGCAAGGATGTTGGCAGCAGCCACCAGGGTAACCGAGATGGCGAGGGCCATAGGCACAGATCGCTTTGGGTTCTGGGCCTCCTCGCTAGAGACAGCAACAGCAACAAAGCCCACAAAGCCATAGATGCAGGTGGCAGCGCCAGCCATGATGCCAGAGAAACCAAAGGGAGCAAAGCCGCCCTCCTCAGCGCTCCAGTTGTGCGGGTGGGCCAGGACAAACCCCAGGATGATGATGAAGAGGATGATGGCCAGGCTGATAGCAAGGAAGGTGTGGCTGAGCCAGGAAGAGACACGACCTCCACAGGACACAAATGCAGAGGCCAAAAGCAGGATGCCAGCAGCCAGGAAGTCTGGGTACTGGGCCAGGTAGGGCACCTGCCAGGTGCCCACATGGGCCTTGGTGAAGCTGCTGATGCTGCGGCTGAAGATGGCATCTAGGTAGCTGCTCCAGAAGCGGGCCATGGCAGCGGCCCCAACGATACACTGGATGAGCAGTATCCAGCCAACGAGGAAGGCCCACAGCTCACCCATGAACACATAGGTGAACAGGTAGGAAGAGCCCTTGCGGGGCACACGTGCTGCCAACTCTGCGTAGCATAGGGCTGCCAGCAAGGAGGCCATGGCAGCCACGCCAAAGGACACGAGCACTGCCGGGCCGGCCATCTCCTTGGCCACGGTGCCAGTGAGCATGTACAGGCCCAAGCCCACTGTGGCACCCACACCCAGCAGGATCAGGTCCAGCGTGGTCAGGTGGCGCCGCAGCGACGTCTCTGTGGTGGGCTCCTCCAGTGTCTTCAGCCGGTTCAGCTTCTGGCAGAAGCGCGCCACACTGGCAGTGCTGGGCAGCCCCGGGGCCATGGTGGGCAGCTGAGACAAGCACCAACCCACCTGCTGCCACCTACAAGAGGCAAAGGGGAGTGACAAGCTTCCTTGGTCCTGACCAGCCTTCAGTCCTTGCTCTGACCCTGCCCTGGGGACCCAAGCCTGGAACCACTGGCAGTTGCAGGGCTGACTGAGGCAGGCTCAGGGCCTGGCAGCAGGGTGGGCAGGAGGCCACAGGGAAGTGTGGGGAACTCTTTGGCATGCCTCCAGGGCAAGGGAGGGAGTCTGGTTCCAGGTGTGTTTGGGAGGGGCTCTGAGGGTGGGGAGGGGCAGTCCCAGAGAGCCTGGCTAGGAACCACTCCAGTGGTCTGGGATTCCAGAGCAGGGTGGAAACCCGAAGCTTCCTGGGAACTGGGCCAGGCCTCCAGGGCCTGGAACAGGAGCAAGTCTGTGGCCCTTACCGCAGACCAGGCAGCCACCTGGCCTCAGAGGCATTCATCCCGCATCCACGGTCCAGCAGGCAGGTGTATCAACTCAACCCGCCTGGAGGGTGGCTGCCCTGGGACCTGAGCCCCCCTCTGTGCCTGGCCATGCCTCCAGAGCCAGGTCTGTGGTGCCACTGCTTCCTGGTACCAAATGCTTCACCTTTTCTCTCGCCTGAGTCCATCCCCCTAGGACTTGCTGCGACTCACTTGCTGTCACCACTACAGTCCCTCTGCTCCAGAGGGTTTGCCCTAACCCCAAGGCACTGGATGTAGCGCTTGGCCTTTTGTCATGGTGACACACGCACTCAGTCCACCATACCCACACCTCACGCAGCCAACACCAGTGCTTCCCCAGGTTCTGGTTAAGCTGTAATACTGTGTCCGGTTCACAGATGAGGAAATCCAGGCCACCAGGTAAGTGACTAGTCCAGGTCACCAGGGTGGTCTTGGCAGTCCTGTGGAGGCTAAGGTCCAGGTCTGGGTGGGGTCTGGAGCCCACTCTTCGTCCACTGCTGCAGACGTCCTCCTTGATTCCTCATCCTAACACACAGACTCCACCAGCTGGGCACCATTCAGGCCCCTCGACCCTGGGAGGTGTGGGGGCTGCGGGAGTCAGGCAAGACGCTGGTAAGATGAGGGTCTGAATGTGGCTGAGAGGCCCTGGGCAGTCCCTGACCTCTAGCACAATGGGATGGCAGTAAGCCACCCTCACCCACTGACGAGGGAGCGCCCGGCTGTGGGGAGTGTTCTGTGAATTGACAGAACTCGTGCTGGCTGTTCTGAGCTTCCAGATACAGACAGTGTCCTGAAAGGAGGCAAGCAGACCCCTGGGGACCACCTCCAGCCCTCCAGCTTGGGGCACCCCTAGGGCCCCTCAGACCCCAATGGCAGCCCCTCCCAGCCCAGGAGCACCTGTCAAGCCTGGAGGACCCTGGGGGACCGTAACAGCAGCTCCCACTTGTGGATATCTGTGAGAGGTGTCGTGGACTGAGCATCTGCTCCATGCCAGTCCCTGCATCACGGAGACACATCACGTGTCTCGCCATGTGACCATCACAAACCCCCTCAGGCTTATTTATTCCTGGAGCTGAGGGGTCTGTGTCCTTCTGCTCTTCCCACTCCTTTGAATGTGGAAAGGCTGGTGTCACAGGGTATGAACTTGTTCACAGAAAAATGAGGACAATCCATCCAAGCAAAGCAAAACCAAAACAGTCATCCTCTTCCCCCAGAACTCTCTCCATGTTGTCAGGTTTCTATGTGGTTTGTGGGATAGGACGTTAGGGGCACCTGCAGGCTGTCTGGCTCAGGGGGCTGGTGACAGGGTGGTGGACTCCCAGACCAGATGGCGCCACTTGGAGCACTCTGCTTTAGCCAGCCCCTTGCTCCCTTCTGGTATGTGGCTGACGTTGTCTTGAGGAGCTTCTCAGATGGGCTCCCACTTCCTGCAGGGGTGACCCCTCCCGCACCTCGCTCCTGTGTGGCCTAAACATAACCGAGCAGATGTTCCTTGTCCTGAAACGTCTTCACAGAAACCCAGAAAAGTGCATTTCCAACCAAGAGGTCTGGGCAGTTGTGTAACAGGAGCTCCCCCAAGGCCTGACCGATGGCCACCTGAGAGCTGGAGTGCAGGGTTTCAGAGACTTCATCTACGCAGAGAGGGGCTCTCACCACACCCTTTTCACAGGGGCCAACATCCAATGGATACTTGTGGCCAAGCGTGGTTGATGCAGTAAACTGTAAACTTCCAGGGACATGGCTGGGCCAAGTGCTGTACCCCAGCGAGCAAGGCAGTTACACTGAGCAACACATGGAGATGCAGTGAAGAGAAAGTACCAAAAATGCAAGAAGAGAGAACACTTCCCACCTCATCGTACACAGCCAGGAGCACCCTGACACCAAACTCAACAAAGACATCACAAGGAAAGAAAACTACAGAGCAACATCTTTATGAATATAGATGCAGGATCGCTCAACTGAGTACCAGCAAAGTGAATCCAGCAACATGTAAAAAGGGCCAAGCAGGATTTATCCCAGGAATGCAAGATTGACTTAACTGAAAGCAGACTGATTTCTGAAAAATGAATCAATGGAATATGTCATACAGATAGAATAAAGGACAAAAACCACAGATCCTCTCAACAGACACAGAAAAAACAGTCAACAAATCTGGACTAGAAGGGACTGCCCTCAAACTCACGAAGACCATCCACGAAAACCCTCGGCTGCTGTGCTCAGTGGAGAGAGACTGAAAGCTTTCCCTTTGCTCAGTAACATCGGGAGGTCCTCTCACCACTTGTATCCAACATTTTACTGGGGGCTCTGGTCATGGCAATTAGGTGAGAACACGAAATAAAAGGAATCCAGATTGGAAAGGGAGGAGTAAAAGTATCTGTAACCACAGATGACAAGATCTTATGTTAGAAAACCCGAGAGTCCACACAAAAAATATTAGAACTAATAAACAAGTCCAGTTAAGATGCAGGACACAAGATCAATATACAAAAATCAATCGTATTTCTATACATCTACAATGAACTATCCAGAATCGAAATTAAGAAAACAATTATGCTTAAATAGCATCAAAAGGAATGAATGTATGTATAAACACACTTAGAATAAGTTTAAGAAAAGAAATGCAAGGCTTGTGCGCTGAAAACATCATGGAAAAAATTAACGAAAGACTAAATTTATGGTTAATTGCTTTTTAAAAAAATAAGACTTCATTTTTCAGAGCAGTTTTAGGTTTATAAGAAAATTGAGTAGAAGGTGGAATTCCTATATTCGCTCAGTCCCTACACAGGCACGGCCTCCCCCACTATCAACATCCCCCACCGGATTGGTACATTTGTTATAACTGATGAACCTGCATTGACACAAGATTATCACCTACAGTCCATGGTTTACATTAGGGCTCACTCTTGGTGTTGGACATTCCATGGGTTTGACAAATGTATAATGACATGTGCACACTACTACAGTAAGCCCTAAAAATCCTCTGTGCTTCACCTACTCATCCCTCCCTCCCCACTAACCCCCGGCAACCACTATCTTCTCACTGTCTCCACAGTTTTCACTTTCCAGAAGGTCACAGAGTTGTAATCGAATCACACAGCATGTAGCCTTTTCAGATTGGCCTTTTTCACTTAGTAATACGCATTTAGTTCATCTTATGTCTTTTCATGGCTTGATAGCTTCTTGCTTTTTAGTGCTGAGTAATATTTCTTGTCTGGATGGACAAGAGTTTATCCATTCACCTACTGAAGGACATCTTGGTTGCTTCCAAGCTTTAGTAATTATGAATAAAGCTGCTGTAAACATCCACGTGCAGGTTTTTGTGTGAACATAAGTTTTCAACTCATTTGGGTAAATACCAAGGAGTGTGGTTGTTGATTCATATGGTAAAAGTATGTTTAGTTCTGTAAGAAACTGCCAAGGTGTCTTCCAAAATGGCTGTACCATATTGCATTCCCACCAGCAATGAAGGAGCGTTCCTGTTGCTCCACATTTTCAGCAACATTTGGTGTTGTCAGTATATTGGATTTCTGCCATTCTAACAGGCGGGTAGTAGTATCTCATTGCTGTTTTAGTGTGCAATTCCCTAATGACAGAGGATGTGGAGCATCTTTTCATGGGCTTATTTGCCAACTGTGCATCTTGTCTGGTGAGGTGTCTGTCTGGATATTTTGTACATTTTTAATTGGGTTGTTGGTTTTCTTATTGTTGATTTTTAAGAGTTCTTTGTATACTTTGGATAACAATCCTTTATCAGATACATCTTTTAGAAATATTTTCTCCTAGTCTATGCCTTTTCTCCTCATTCTCTTGATGTCCAATTAATTTTTGACAAGAGAGCCAAAACTATTCAGTGGGGGAAACAGCAGTCTTCTCAACACACTGTGCTGCAACAGCTGGATCTCCACATGCAAATGAACAAACTCACACTCCTACCTCACACCACATGCAAAAATTAACTCAAAATGGATCAGAGAACTCAATCTATGAGCTGAAACTTTACAGGCAGATCTTGGAGATATTGTGGTTTCAAAAGCATAAGACCACAATAAAATGACTGTTCCAACAAAGTGAGTCACAAGATTTCTTCGGTTTCCCAGTGCATATAAAAGTTTTATTTAGGGGCCGGCTCTGTGGCCAAGCGGTTAAGTTTGTGTGCTCCACTGTGGCGGCCCAGGGTTCGGATCCTGGGCATGGACATGGCACCGCTCATCAGGCCACGTTGAGGCAGCGTCCCATATCCCACAACTAGAAGCACCTGCAACTAAGATATACAACTGTGTACAGGGCAGGGGCTTGGGGAAATAAAGCAGGAAAAAAAAAAAAAAAGATTGGCAACAGTTGTTAGCCCAGGTGCCAATAAAAAAAAAAGTTTTATTTACACTATACTGTACTCTATTAAGTGTGCAGTAGCATTATGCCTAAAAAAAGAATGTACATACAATAATTTAAGATACTTTATTGCTAAGAAAGGTTAGCCATCCTCTGACCCTTCGGCGAGTTGTGATCTTTTTGATGGGGGAGGGTCTGCATCGATGTTGAGGGCTGCTGACTGATCAGGGTGGCTGTTCTTGAAGGTTGGGGTGGCTGTGGCAATTTTTAAAATAAGCCAACAATGAAATTTGCCACATTGATAGACTCTTCCTTTCACAAACAATTTCTCTGCAGCCGGTGATGCTGTTTGATAGCATTTTAGCCACAGTGGAACTTCTTTCAGGGGCCGGCCTGGTGGCCTAGTGGTTAAGTTTGCATACTCTGCTTCAGCAACCCAGGGTTGGTGGCTTCAGATCCTGGGCATGGACCTACACAGTGCTCATCAAGCCACGCTGTGGTGGCATTCCACATACAAAATAGAGGGAGATTGGCACAGATGTTAGCTCAGCGACAATCTCTCTCAAGCAAAAAGAGGAGGAATGGCAATTGATGTTATCTCAGGGCCAATCTTCCTCACCAAAATAAATAAATAAAAAACAAAAATAAGTGAACTAACAAAAAAAAGAAAAGAACTTCTTTCAAAATTGGAGTCAGTCCTCTCAAAACCTTCCACTGCTTTATCAACTAAGCTTATGTAATATTCTAAATCCTTTGTTGTCATATTCACAATCTTCATGGCACCTTCACCAGAAGTAGATTCCATCTCAAGAAACCACTTTGCTCATCCATAAGAAGCAACTCCTTATCCATTAACGTTTTATCATGCTATTGAAGCAATTCAGTCACATCTTCAGGCTCCACATCTAATTCTAGTTCTCTTGCTATTTCCACCACATCTGCAAGTACTTCCTCCACTGAAGTCTTTAAACCCTCAAAGTCATCCATGAGGGTTAGAATCAACTTCTTCCAAACTGCTGTTAATGTTGATATTTTGACCTCTTTCCATAAACCATGAATGTTCTTAATGGCGTCTAGAATGGTGAATCCTTTCCAGAAGGTTTTCACTTTACTTTGCCCAGATCCATCAGAGGAATCACTGTCTATGGCAGCTAGAGCCTTAGGAAATGTATTTCTTAAATATGAAGATTTGAAAGTCAAAATTACTCCTTGATCCATGATCAAAATGACTGCCCAGATCCTGCAGAAGGGATGTTGTGTTAGGAAGCATGAAAACAACGTTAATCTCATTGTACATCTCCATCAGAGCTCTTGGATGACCAGGTACATTCTCAATAAGAAGTAATATTTTGAAGGGAATCTTTTCTCTGATCAGTAGGTCTCAGTATTGGGCTTAAAATATTCAGTAAACCATGTTGTAAACAGATGTGCTGTCACCTAGGCTTTCTTGCTCCATTTATGGAGCACAGGCAGAGTAGATTCAGCACCATTCTTAAGGGCCCTAGGGTCTTCAGAATGGTAAATGAGCAATGGCTTCACCTTCAAGCCACCAGCTGCATTAGCCCCTAACAAGAGAGTCAGCCTGTCCTTTGAAGCTTTGAAGGCAGGTGTTGACTTCTCCTCTCTAGCGACGAAAGTCTGAGATGGCATCTTCTTCCAGTATAAGGCTGTTTTGTCTATGTTGAACATCTGTTGTTTAGAGTAGCCACCTTCATTAATGATCTCAGCTAGATCTTCTGGAGAACTAGCTGCACCTTCTGCATCAGCACGTGCTGCTTCACTTTGCACTTTTATGTTATGGAGATGGTTTCTTTCCTCAAACCCCATGAACCAACTGCAGCTAGCTTCATTCTTTTCTTCTGCAGCTTCCTCACCTCTGTCACGCTTTGTAAAAGTGAAGAGAGTTAGGGCCTTGCTCTGGGTTAGGCTTTGGCTTAAGGGATGGTTGTGGCTGGTTTGATTAGTGAGTCTGTGACGGAAGGCATCTCATCCTCTGGAGGGAGAGTAGAGACACCATTTTCACCACACCATCCTTACCACTGTGCAATGAAGCTCTTTATTTTGAGGAGTGAACTTTTTGGATCATGAGGGCTACATCATCTGTGCCCTCCCCAGGGATGCCTCCTGCATCCATGTTAAAGATTAATTCTCAGCCTGGAAACTTGCCTCCAAGTATTTCCTTAAAAAGGCACACCCGATTGAATCCCTAGTGGAATAAATACACAAATGGAGATCCCACTCTTCAACGGCCAGATGATCCATCTGTTGAATTGGAAAAACTTCTATATTTGAAAAATATTTTAGAAAGCTCTTATCACAAGCAGCTGTCTTACTGGTATTTAAGGGAAGATCAAATGGAAAAGAAATGCCCAAAAATATAATGGCTAGGCTGAGGGAATCTCTAAAAGTGAAACAATCAAAGTCAGGCTTAGAACAAAGATTAAAGAGAAAATTTAAGGAAAATTCCCCTTCTCTGCCCTCCTATGCTCCCCTATACCCCCAGCTCCCTGTCCCTGACCCTCTGGAAGATTTGGTGGGTCTCTGGGCCCCTGGTTTCAACTCTCCTTCTGAAGACTTAGCTCCTCAGCCACTCTCCTCAGATCCTAAAACCCCAACTCCTCCAGACAGCATCCAGCTGCCCATCTTCACTGCCCTCTCTTCAGAAGACTCACAGGGGGCCCTCAGGCCTGACCCCCAAGCTAGGGGCACAGAGGTCATTGGTGTAAATGCTGAAGCCAGGAAGTGAATTCAGTGGAAGCAGCCAGGAAAGGCAGGAAGGCTGGTTTCCTGCCCCTTCCAAGTCCTCCTGCTTTCCAGGGCTCTGTCACCAGGCTCTGCCGGCGTCAGGCAGTCCACGCAGGGTCCACTGTGGATGCACCCTGGACCTCCGCTGCAGACAGTTCATGTCCCCTGGACACAGCCCATCTATGAAATTATAAACCTCTCCTGCCTCCATGGTCAGAAGATCCCACTAAATTTAGAGAGGACATAGAAAGGTCAGTGGCTGTTCATAACCCCACCCACGGAGATCGTGGCTGGCTGCTAAGGGGGTTCTTCCAGCCCAGGATTACACTGTAGTTATCAGACAGGCCAGGGGGCCCCCTGGAGGAAACCCCCTCACAGGGGAAATAGAGGGCCAGACCCTCTCCCAGGCCCTCCTGCAAATGACCAGGAAGTGGCTCTGCTTGAGGCTGACACTCAAGGTTTAACAGGAACAGTTTTCTTTTATTGATTTATTTATTTTTGGAGGAAGATTAGCCCTGAGCTAACATCTGCAGCCAATCTCCCTCTCTTTCTTTTGGCTGAGGAAGACTGGCCTTGAGCTAACATCCGTGCCCATCTTCCTCTATTTTATACATGGGACGCCTACCACAGCATGGCTTGCCAAGCAGTGCGTAGGTCTGCATCCAGGATTCGAACTGAGGAACCCTGGGCCGCCGAAGTGAAACATGAAAACTTAACAGATGAGTCACCAGGCCGGTCACTAGCAGGAACAGTTTTAGAGGCATTTCCTCCTAAAGTTAATTGTTGAAAAAAATTGAAT